TCGATGAGTGGCCAAACGTAATAATAATAATAATAATAATAATAATAATAATAATAATAATAATAATAAAGCCCTAGCACAAAAAAGTACAGAAACATCATCGTATTTAGCTAATGCTTTACTAGAGGCGCCACCACCTTCACAAAACTTGGCTAATGATCAATCTTTCTTTGACGACTGGAAAAAACAAGGCTTTCAAACTGGTGTCTCGTTTTCTAATAGTTTGTTTCAAGAAGATCATAGAAATGATCAGCTAGCTTCTCAAAATGGAGCCACTGGTGTCTCATTTCCCAACAATTGGCTTCAACGGGATCATGCCAATGATCGGCAAGCTTCTCAAAATGGACCCAATGGTGTTTCATTTCCCAACAGTTGGCTTCAAAAGCTTCTGAAAATGGAGCCAATGGTGTATCATTTACCAACAGCTGGCTTCAAGATGATAATAGAATTAACCAGCAGGATTCTGAAAATGGACCCAATGGTGTCTCATTTCCCAACAGTTGGCTTCGAGAAGATAATAGAATTGACCAGCAAGCTTCTCAAAATGGATCCATGGGTAATTCATATATCAATGACAGGCTACAACAACAACAACTACAGCACGAGCAAGCTTCGAATAATGTAGCCAATGGCCATTCGTGTTTCGATGACTGGTTAAAAGAAGAAAAAAATTTAGACCACGCCTTTCATCAACCTGTAGCATTCAATGATAACGTCTGTTTCGATGACTGGCTTCAAGGAAACCAAATCACAAAACCAGCAAAACAAACCCAGAATTCAGCTCCGACCTGGAGCAACAACAATGGCGCTAACGAGAACTGGGAGCTTGTGTTAGTATAAACCACAGCACAAACTTCACAACCTTCTCAACATTTAGTCAATGGAATCGAGCCTTCAATGGCGAATCATTTATTTGACCAAGAACCCATTGTACCTCAACGCCAATACAATCCATTTCTTGAAGACGAAACAGATATGTCAGTATCCACCAGTGGCAATGTTGCTGGTTTTTCTGATGGCTTCTCAATGGTACCGGTATTTCAGGCAACACCCACTTTCTTTGCTCGAAGTTTTAATGAAATCACTACGGCACCGACATTTCAAGCGGTACCAAGATCCGGCCCCCAGAATCTTAATGGAACGACAACAGCGGCGTTCGAAGATAGTGAATCGGACAACCCTTTTTCTCCATGGCCGACTGTGAAAGCTAGGAACAATTTATCAGTAGATCAACAAAATATATTACTTCAACAACAGTTCTGGTTGCAATGAACAAAATATAGTTTTATATATAATTGAGTAACAAAACTGTATATTCTATAACAAATTCACCGATTACAAGTATTGAAACTTGAAAAAGAAATAAGTGAGCTAAATCTCGAGATTTTTTTGTTTTTAAGGCATTGTCCAGATTGAATTAATTGGGCTAATGACTAAGTTTCACTTCAAAAAGGAGTTTTCTAATTGATCCTTATTAATATTGCAACATACATACACATTACTAAAATGATATTTATCAACATTTAAAGGTTTTACGAAAAAATTATATTTTTAAAACAACTCTTATAAAAAAAGGGAAAAGTTGCAAATTAAAAGATAAAATTATCTCTTATCGCTTTAAATTACAAGATGAACATTTAAATTTCTAGTTCGGGTCGAGTTGGGTCGGGTTTTTTAAATGTGATATTCAGGTCGGGTCGGGTTTAAGGTGAAAATATCCAATCCGACCCGACCCAAAAAAAATATAATTTTACCTTATATATTTAGGAATAATTACAATAATACCCCCTCTACATATTATTTTTTTAATTAAGTCACTATTTTTATTGAATAAAAATAATATTTTTTTATTCTTTCAGGTTGGGTCGGGTCGGGTTTTTAAGTTATATATCGGGTCATGTTCGGGTTGAGTGAAATCTTGTTTCACTGTAAATGAACTGAATGTTCAGCGAACCGTTCATGAACCGTGCGGCCGGAAGTTCGTTTATTTATTAAATGAACGAACATGAACAATATTTTGTGTTCGTTTAATTAAATGAACGAACACGAACAATTGGCTCGTTCGTTCATTTACGCTCGTGAACGTTCGATTATATGTTCGTTTATGTTTGTTCATTTATGTTCGAACAGAGGGCAAGTTGAATATGTTACGAAGATTATTAAAGTTGTTTGGATTTTAAGAAGATTGTTTTGTTGAACAAATTAACTTTAAGATTTTATTATGTTCATATAGCTTATTTATGATTTATGTATGTTTTTGTTGTATTCGAACAAATTAACTCTAAAGTTGCAGGTTATATTAATGAATTTTAAGTTGTTATTCTTGTTGTTTACTTTTTTTACATTCATTTGTTGTGTTCGAATAAGTTTTTTTTGTGTGTTTATGTTGTTCGTTTATGTTCGTTTATTGTTTCCGTTTATGTTCGTTTGTGTTTGTTTATCATTTAAATGAACGAACATGAACAAGCTATATTCCTTAATGAGCGAACATGAACAACAAAATTTTTGTTTGTTTGTGTTTGTGTTCATTTATTTATTAAATGAATGAACATGAACATATATCCGTTTGTGTGCGTTCGGTTAGTTTACAAGCTTACCCTATCCCTATGTACTGGTGGAGTACCTAACTTATATTGTCCGGATTTCAAGGCTTTTTTTTTTACTTTGATCATAGAAAATATAAAATGGTGTCCCATTCATCACTTTTATATATATATATATGTATAGATGTTCTTTGCACTGCTTATATCGCATGTCTTCTTTTTATTATTTGATAGTAATAAAGTATTAATTATTACAACTTTCTTCACTAACATGCGCCCTTTGTAAAGTTGAATAGTGACCAATTGAGTGTATCATAATTAGCAAATACAAATAACCCTAAATCAAAAATTAATTGATGTGTTTTGGACATGTTTTTGTGTAATGTGCATTTTTTAGATGATGGGTGCATGGTTTTGGTGTAGGAAGAGGTTATTGGGGAAAGTCGAACAATGTAATCCACCGTGGGGAAGATGAATAACAAGAAACTTACGAACAGGGTTCACTGTTTGAATAAAAATATATATCTAGAAAAAGGATTTCTCCCTGAAACTGTTTTCAATTTACAAAAATTCATAATTAATACTTTATTTGAAATTTAAAGGTTAAATCAAAAGTAAATATTTTTACCGATATGCCACATTGTCAAAATAACGGCAATTAAAGTTACAATGACTAAAACTTAATAAAACAATATCGGAAGTAATTAAAATTTATTTTTTAAAATATGGTGAGAAACGTGTACAAATATAAAAGATAAATAACTATTTTATGTAGTTTATCTAATTTTATAATATAACATATCTTTGTTACAGTATATATAAAATATATTTCATAAAATAATAATATATATATATATGCAGGGTGTGTGATGTTTTTCTTAAAAATTTTGAATTTAAATAATTATATCTATAAGATGTGTGTACGTTATAGATTAATTATAAAAATTATGAATAAATATTATATTATAATCATCATACTATTAAAAAAATTATATATATGCATACTTTCATCTCGATAGTGTCCTATTTCACATGGATTAATCTAGGCATTTAAAACACCTTAAGTTTAGCAATAATTTGAGTGAAAAAGAGAAGAGAGAGAAGGGCGTTGGGCTTATCATTTCAAAGGGTGCAAATTTTCTTTTCAATTTTTCTGAATTCTAATCATTGATTATCATTCATCAACACAACTCCATATAGAGGCGGGTATACGGACTATCCGTTCGTTAAGTTCGTAGATTTTGACGGTATGGATTTAAATGAAGCGATTTAAAAAATCCGTAATTATAAACGGATTTGAATTTTAAGGCCCGCGGTTCATCTATTTAACTCGTGGGTTAAACGGGCTTACTGGTGGCCCGTTAAATAAAAATAATTTTAAATATTTTATATGCAATAAAAAAATGTTCTAACTTGTTACACCTTTAAAAATGATCCAGTAACTTGAAAAAGGAATGTAGCACCGTTAAAAAATAAATAATATTTAAAATTTATTTTAAATAGCCGGAAATGATTATAAAATAATATTTTTTAATCATTAATATATATATATATATATATAACGATATAATTACTTCAACTCAAATTAAAAAAAACAATATTCACTTATATCACCAAATTGAAAAACAAATAAAAATAATAACCACATTATACTTTTATAAAACACGATTATTCAATGCTATAATATGAAGACACATAATTGTCTGGAAGCAGAAATTCAAACAGAAAAATTCAACAAAGTCAAACATTATATAAATTTAACAAATTTTCTTTTGTAAAAACCTTTAAAAGTTGAAAAGTATGTTTTCAATTTTTTTTTACTTTTCTTTCTTATTTTTAATCCAAATATTATGTGTCGTGTGATATATTATTAGAATATCACGTGACTTTTTATAATTAAAGAACGAAATTGATAACGTACTTCATGAAAAAAAATAAATATCAAAATTAAATAAAAAAATATTTAAATACCAAAGTAATAATGATGTAAATTTTATAAGACTAAAATATTATATAAATATTTTAATTTTTATTTTTTAAAATGAAAATAATTTGATACATTATAAATGAAAAAAAATATCAAGCAGCGATAGAATTATGACAAATGCCCTAATAAATTTAAAAACTACAATGGTTATAAGTAACATCATACTTATAAGTAATTTATTTTCTTTTTCTATAAAATTTTTTAAGTTTATTTTCTTTAAAATTTTATAAATTTTAAATTAAGCGGATTATTGCGGGTTTCGCGGACTATCCGCGGTTATACCCATTAAATTCGCGGATTTAATGATCCGGGCTAAAAATCCCGTATTTTAAACAAACTTCAATTTTTGATGTCCAAAACCCGCACGAATCGCGTGTTAAACGGGTATCCCGCGAGACTTAACCCATATACCCCGCTATAACTCCATACATACTCTTCATTCTCCATCCTTCTCTTTTATATTCCATTTAGTTTCCATTCAACTCCACTCCACTCCATTTCGTTGCTACTTTCAGGTTTTGCTTCTTCCTCTTCTTCTTGTTTCTCATTCTTTTATTCCTGATTTGCTGCATGCCAAGTTTATTTTGAATGCATCTTTTAATGTTTCCTTTAGTTGTTCATGCATAATATAATATAAATTCATGTAGGAATACGTAAAAGCAAGGGAAGAAATGGAGAGCATAGTGATTGAGAGAAGGATAACCAAGTGGAAGCATCTGAAACAGAGGCTGGGCTTGAAGTCCATGGCCATGGGTTGCTGCGGAGCCACCTGGAATCCCAGACCCAGAATTTCAACCATTTCTATCCTCGATGAAGAGGAACAAACGCCTCCAACGCAACAACTCACTTCCAGATTCAACGCCGTTAACAGTGCCACCGTCCCGCTGTTGGTTGGCCGCCGACAACGACGGCAGAATCAAGCGATGCCCACCATCACATCAGCCACAGGGATGAACTTGGCAATGGCGCTGGCAGCTGAGCGTAATTTGCGGGGAGACAACGACAACGTGGGACCCAGTCCGACGGATCAGGTAAAGACGTTGAGGAGATTGATTGAAGAAACGGAGGGTAGATTGGACACAACAGAAGACGAAAAGGAATGATCAGGAGAATGACGGTGATGAAGGGAGGAGGGATTGGATGTGCTGCGTGTGCATGGAGAGGAAGAAAGGAGCGGCATTTATTCCATGTGGGCACACCTTTTGCAGGGTTTGCTCCAGGGAAGTGTGGCTCAACCGTGGCTCCTGCCCTGTTTGCAATCGCTCCATTCTCGATATTCTCGATATCTTCTAAATTTCAGACCCTTTTATTTGTTTGATTGTTTGTTATTTAATTTTTGGGTTTTGCTGGAGATTCATGGAAATATTATTCCAGGTTGAGGGGGGAGTTTTACACGCATTGGAAGCGGATCAACGCTATAACCTATAACTATAAGAACACTTCAATCACTTCTTTATTTTCCTTTTGCATCAATATTTGATACACTTCAGTGTATAAGTCTATGCATTGTTGATTGAAAGAAATGCTCTCTGGCAGTCTTATTTTAGCGATTCAATTCTTTTGATTTAAACGAAGAATCGTGATAAATGATTTAGTGGGTTGTAGGAGCCGGAGTAGAATTAGGAATTTTATAATACGGTATCATAATTTTAAATTATGATATCTAAATAAAGTCATATAAAATTAATATATTTCATTAAAGTTCGATAAATTAATGTAAAATATAGTTAAACTAACATAAGAGTTAAGCCTATTACAAAGCTATTAAAACAATAATTTAAAAAATATACATACATACTAGGGTGTTCATTTTTCGATTTTAATTGAATTTATCGACCTAACTACGTTAACTCGGTTAAAAAAACCGGCCACTAAATTAGTTCGATCGAGGAACAATTAACTTCTTTTTCAATATTTAACGGTTAATTCTATTCAAAATCAATTAATTAACTGAATTAATAAAATTAGACAAAAATATTAAATATGATATTATAATATATATTTATTAAATACATATTTTAAGCTAAAATCTATTAAGAATTAAGACCCAATTATTTTTTAATCACACTAGATCCATTAAATTATCAAAACCTAATTAAATTTTGACCCAAATAAAAAATATCTATATTAAATTTAAATCAATAAAATTAAGAAATATATTAAAAATTTGATTAATTCGGTCATCGGTCGAGTTAATTGAATTTTATTCAATTCGATTCGGTTAACGGTTAAAGAAAAACTCAATTAATTCAATTAATAAAATTTTATTTTGATCGGTGACTGAATTAAATGAATGAACGCCCTTAATATATATGGTGTCAAATTTTTTTAGAGGTGTCATTTTCTTAATTTTATATTACATATATATATAAGAAAATTAGAAAATTTTTGGTGTGTCAATTGGCACCCCTCAATAGCTACTGGCTCGACCAGTGTGTAAGAGAGATGACGAACAATAGGAAAGTTGAGCCCCTAATCTAAGAGAGTCTCCTTATCAATCTTGCATGGTGACTCTATATCAACCTTTAGCGTTAGTATGAGACTTAAGATGATAATGACTAGTTATAGGTAATATATTAGATTGTAGATCATGTGAGCATATTATTGGTTACGTCTAGGGTTATAAATGAGACAAGATAAATTCCGAGCTACTCAAAATCGACTCGGTTAAATCTCGATAAATAATCGACTCAAATGGACTCGACTCGAGCTCAAGCTCGACTCGAGTTCTTAACAAGCTGAATTGAGCTACTTGATACTAGACTCGAAAAACTCGTGAGCAGCTCAAAAATATAATATATTAAGATCTTATTTTTTAAAAAATAAATTATTAATAATATTAATATTTATGTGTTGATTTTTTATAAAAAATTGTAGTATAAGATTTTATTGTATTTAAGGTTCATGTTTAAGTTTGAGGCTTCAATCGAGTTAACTTTAAGATTTTTTTTTTCATTTCGAGTTTTTTTTAGCTTTTACGAGCTTTAGTTCATGATTTCGAGTTTGAGTCGACCTCCATTTCAGAGATTTCGAGTTAAGTCGAGCTTCACAATACTCAAGCTCGACTCAACTCGTTCACAACCCTAATTACGTCAAGAATTGTAACTATCTAAAAGATATGAAACTCTAAAAGTTTCGAGGAATTATTGAGGATATGTAATTTCGGAGGCTTCAAAACTCGATAGATGGAGGAATGGTAATAGGGGTGTGATTTTTGAAGGAGATACACAGTTGCCTTCCTTAGTCAAAGAAATGTCATAAAGTCGAATACCAATGTCAAAGAAATGTCATAAAAGTGTCAATTTATGAAATTTAAAGATTTATAGGACTAAACCTAAAAATGTGGGCTCTAATATCAATCATAATCGGTTTTAACCAATTATCGAGTCGAATAATCAATTTGGACACTCGAACATTTTAATGCGGAGACCAAATCGAATTATTTCTTAAATTAAGGGACTAAAGTGAAATTTAATGTAAAAGCTTCAATACCGGGTTAGTGACTAAATTGTAAAACTTCAGAATTTGGTGACTAAAGCATAATAATTGAATAGTATTGTAATTGGTATAGGGTTAAATTGCAAGGAAGAAGGAATAGAAGGATAAAATGGTAATTTGCATGGGAAATAATTAAAGAATAGATATTTATATATTAACTCCACGTGGAAGAGAAGAAGGAAAAACAAGGTTCCAGAGTTCTCTTCTTCTCTTCTTTCTCCACACGTGAAGAAGGCTAAACAAAGGTGAGATCTTTTAAAAGCTAATGGTTTGCTGAAATTTAAGTCTGGTTTTGATCCTTAGATGCTAATTAAGCTTAAGGAAAGCTTAATTTGTTTTAAAGTACAAGATGAAGAAGTTATAAGAAATTAAAGAAAATGGATTTTAAATGAATTTATGGAAAAGAGTTGATAAGTTGAATTGAAGATAAACTTGACTTGTCATCATGCTAATTAAGGAATATGAAGTGTTATAATTGTATTTAGAACATATTGAAATTTGAGTATGATTCTTGAATCACATATGAGGGATAGGATTTTGAGGTTAAAGATGATTTTCATGGATATAAGTTGGTTTAAGTAATGATGGTTGGGTTTAATGACATGATAAGGGTTTAAATAGAATAATTGAGTGAAGAATTGATGATTTTTGAGCTTAAAATACAAATTATGGGTTGTGTGCATCGATGCACATTCAATGTTATCGATACACTATCAAATAATTGAACATCGAATGCAATTAGTGCATCGATGAGGAGTGCATCGATGCACCTACTTAAAATACAAACTTCGAATGGGATTTATGACCGATGCATAGATAGTGCATCGATGCACCCGTCAAGGGATGCATCGATACATGGTGTAGTGCATCTATGCATACCTTCATTAAAAGATAAAAATTGCTTTCTTTTTAGCCTAAGGAGTGATAGTTTAGAATATATCATTAGTATACTGATATGTATCATGTATTACTATGTAGATTTAGAACGTAATCTCGTTCCGGAACAATCGAGAGATTAGAATTGAGTCAAAGCAAGGCTAAGGTGAGTGCCCATACTGGATAGAATTGTATGGAGACAAGACTTGCGATAAGTCTATCTCTTATAGTTGAATTCCTGATTTCATATTCATGTACATGCATCCACATATATATATTGAATACAGTGATTTCATGTATAGTTCATTTATACTTTACTATGATATTATATGAAAGAATGAAATTGTAGAGGATCAATCCAGGTATGTGAAATAATGAAAGTGATCACATGTGTGTATATGAAGTGAAATACATGTTTATATGAAAAGTGATGAGAAGATATGAAAATGAGAAATGTATTCATATTTAAGCCTATGTGAGTTAATATGAGAGCTGTAGGTATAATTGGCATGCCAAGAGTCGAGGGTTCTACATGGTCCTTCGGGGCATATATGTAATTTTGTGGAACATATATGTGGTACTTTGGTACACTTATTTGGTCTATTGTATTATGTATATGGTTCTTAAGGAGTGGTCCTTCGGGACATATACAGTGGTCCTTCGGGACATATACAATGGTCCTTCGGGACATAGTGGTTTTTCGGAACAATCAGTGGTCCTTCGGGACATAATGGTCATTCGGGACAAATATGCAGTGCCCCTTGAGGGAATTATACGAACTGTGGTGACAGCATAGTGCACAATCTCTATGTACTCACATACCTTTGTTCTCAATAATGTACATGGACAATCCAAAGATAAATTAAAGCGAAATCAACATAAAAATATATATCGTATATGTGCATACTATCATCATATATGTTATAGTATAATAAATATATGCAAGTTAAGATGTCATGATCAATGGTAAGGAAACATGTTCACAAATTCATTGCTATACATGCGTATACATATATTTATGTTATGCCTCACTAAGTCTATGACTTAGCGTGTAAGTGATTTACACGTAGGTACCAAGAATCGAGAAGAATAGAAATAGAAGTGGCAATAACAGCAGCACTGCCAGAAGATCAGATCAAAAGTAACTGATAAAGTATGTATTTTGTCGTGTATAGTATGTTGGCATGTAAAGTAAAGTGTCAGTTATAAATGCTCTGATCGATTTTAGTTGTTTTGGTTATTTTATGTAAATAAACCGCTTTTATGTTGATGAAGGTTTTAAATTTTCCTTGAATTTTTGTCAAGAGTCAAAGTTTGAAAAGTCAATGTGACACCTCAGACTCGTATTCGGGTCAGATATGGGTTGGGGGTGTTACATTTAACCTAAATTAGAGATTCTAATAACAATCCTAATCGATTCAACCAATTGTGAACCAACCAATAATATAAATAACAAAACGTACATACATCCAAATTTATATAATAAACACTATAAAACAAGACTAGTGTGTAAGGTATTTAAATATTATAGCATATAATGTGGCATATATAAACAGTGGTTCACACGCACCTGCATACATATTTACACAGTAAGTAAGCACAAACATACAAAAGTATAAAGCAAATACATGGATACACGCAACATTATAATGTATAAACATTATATACCATACATTTCACGAATACACTAGTTTGCATATAATATAAAGGTGTAGAATATAAAAAGAGAAACACGAACGTACTTAAAAATGTATTCTTTTTAAAATAAATATTTAATATCTATGAATTGAAATAAGAATTAATGAGAAAACACATTACCTTATATATATATATATATACCTAATATAATATGAATATAAAGTATATATGTATATGTTCGTAAACATATTTAATGCATTACAATGATAGTAATATGGAAAGAAAATAAGTAATGGAAAATTCATTATAATTTAAACTTGCATGGAAAGAACATTATTTATCAATTACATGTGAAGAAAAAGGAAACT